GGAGGAGGGGAAGCAAGAATAGCCACCAAGTGTCTCAGTTGTGTCTCTCCAATCCGTTACACTGTGCAGGGTCGCATATACTGCTTTAAGATCTCATTCCTGCAGATGGTAATTTGAGAGTGTAGGCATACAGTATTAATGAAGCAGAGTACCTCAAATGACTGCATAGGTTAGCATATCTTGTTCTGTCCGTATAGCTGCTGCGGCAAACTCATTGCGCGTTTTCCGATCGAAGGGAATTGTTTCTTTCCATACCTCTACAACACTACAGTTACGATTTAAAAGATATTGTAAATCACTGTCAAGATTGGTGATAATGGATTATACAACATATTCTTCTAGATAGGGGCAACTGGTCCTGCTGAGGACTTAGCCTTGCCAAGACGGTAAGATTAGGCGGACTGGCAGGGGGGGGGCTGGGGGGCACAGGAGTTGCTTTAGGCTGCAGGGGTAACACCAGGCACGGCAGGTCAAGGTCGTTCACTGGTGTTCTCCACTCAAAGCAAAGACCCAAGGTGGGCTGCGGAATAAACAATGTCAAGTTATACTTGACAACTAGTTAACTTTGAGGGTCATATGGGATACACGAATGATAGTCCATGAGGACGCTTGAGTACAGCAGACAGAGGCTTGAAAAGCCAAGGAACGATATTGGTTATTATTGTACAGTGAGATTGGTGTTGCTTTTGAACAGTTCCTGTTAGCTATTTGTTTAGTAGGTTTTGACCAAGAAATAAACGATGAAATGTCAACACCAGGAACAGGAACCTACCCAATGTCCCTGTGAGATTTGTCATCGGATGTTCTTCCGTAAGAGAGCATCTCGGTTACTCTGTCCAGACAGCATCTGCTTCTTCCACATTAGAGTTTTTATTTTTGGTTCAGAGTTACCAAACACATAAGAAGCCAAAGTAGTTGCTGATGTGAGAGACAAGTCCCTATTATTGTGCCCCTCCTCTTTTTTTCCCAAGGAAAAAAAGGAGTGAGGGAAGTCTGTTGCTCTGCTTCTTCCTCAGACCATCCAACAGACAACTCTGCTGCCATCCACGGCTTCCCCAAGAATCTCCGTTGCACTTTTCATAGCTTCTGTGCTGGTACCAAGTTCAGAAAAACAGTTGAATTTTCTTCTGCTGATATTGTTTCTAACTCTGAGTAGCAGCAAAAATGCACTCAGGCTGCTTATCTGCACGTCTTACAAATGAAATTGCACTGAATTTATACAAGGGTCAGACTGCATATTTGCAGCTACTGGAAAGTATTTAGAGAGGATGTTACAGTTTGTAAGAACTGAATGTAAGTCCCCTTATTCCTCTTGGCATGATGTCTGTTTGTCTGAATTGTATCTTTTTAAAATACTGCTGGAGTTCCAGTTTTCCTGCTTTCTAACAGTTTCTGGCCCCATTAGCTATTGGAAGGAGGGTTAAAAATATACAGAAGTGTGGATATCCCTCTCAGATTTGTGATAGAAAAAAAAAGATGTTTATTGCACGCTTTTATTGCCAATGATTTCTTGGGATAGGATTTTTCTATCCGTGTTTCCTGTTGAATCAGTAGAAGGTTTCAAAGTGTGTGCTTACCTTGTGACATGGGCACAATCCTACATAAGCGCGATGAGGGTAATATTTAACATTTAAGTAGCTTAAATAGTTGGCACTTAACACTTCCGATGCAGCAAAATTGGGAATGTGGTTGCATGTAAGGATGCTGTTTTTAATTTCTGACTAGGAGTGCCTGGAGGAGATTCCTCTTTTCTGCCAGATTGGAGACTGTTTCCTAGGTTGGATGAAGTCCTGAAACTCCAAGAAGGAGATGGACACCAGTGGTTGCGTGCGCAAGCTACCATATATATTTAAGGAAGTGGTTTCGAGAAGTGATTTCCTGCTCCTCCAATAGAACAAAGCTGCCATTACATGAGCAGTGCTAACCAGATTATATACTTAATGAAATATCAAGGCATTTAATTCAGAAGTAATTCTTGAGGAAGCACGCCAGGGATACTGAATTTGGGAGGACGTAGTCTGCACTGCGCTGAGTCTACGTTTCATGAATAGCAGTAACCGGCACAGCAAGAAGCCGTTAACCTTTACAAGAAATTCAGTGGAAAATCCTGCATCCCTTTGCTGACTCTGCTGCCTCCTGTACCGGCTCCGTGTTGTGTATGTGCATGTGCAGAGGCAGGTGTGAGCAAAAGGGGGGCGGGATGGAGATAATAGCCTCTGCTAATCCCCCACTGGCATAATGTCCATTAGGAGTCAGTGATGTAAATTAGAGTCGAGACCCTGCTGTCTCTCTTGCCTCAAGGTCACAGAAGCAGTTCCACGTGTCCACCAGTCTTTATCCAAACACAGCTTCTTCATCATGGAGAAAAGTCACCTGAACGTAAATCTGATCTTGTGCTGTAGACTGATATGGTACATCAGTAAGATCTCAGCTGACTCCCCCACTGCCTTTTCAGGTGCCAGTAGGAGTACTGGCAAACCTGACCTGCAGGTACCGGGGCATGGCTTCAGCGTGCTCCTGCTTCCCGGCATTACAGAAGAGGGATATATGTTCCTCTGTAGTTTGAGGATCTCGTAATTATGCTCAAACTAGACGTATGAAGACAACCATACAAATACTTCCTGTCTGCTCCCTTCTTTACTTTCTCCTAATCCACTCACCAGCCCCCAGAAACTTCAAGTATTTTAAGCTCAGTTAATTTCAAGTATTTTCTCTCTGATTTGGGCTTTTCTTTCTGGAGAACCTCTGGCAAGTATAGCCTTAGGAAGGGGCTTGCATTTAAGCTGTTACCGAGGTGACCTTCTGGCATGTTAGTGACAGGAAGATGACGGCCACCCCTCTAGAAGCATTCTCCAACAACCTTCTGCTGCCCTGAGTTTTGTTGCTGGTTGCCCTCCATGTGACTGTGGTGTGCCGAGTCCCCGAGCTGTACCGAGCCAGACTGCTGTGAGGGCTGCATAAAGACAGCAAGCCTGGAGTCTAATGTGAGGTGCTACAGATGGGTTCCGCAAGCCAGTGGCAAGGGATAATGTTACAGGCAGCCACATCCAAAGGACTCTCCCTCACTACACTCATAAATTACATTCAGCCAGTTGTCAGATGATGCAAAACTGGGAGGAGTGGCTGGTACACCAGATGGGTGTGGTGTTGTTCAGAGTGACTTCAGCAGGCTGGAGAAATGGGGTGAGAGGAATCTCTTGAAGTTCATCAAAGGGAAATGCCAAATACTGCACTAGGGGAGGCATAATAAATGCAGAAGTACAGGGTAGAGAACGCTTTGCATTTAAGTATTTGGGCAGCAAGTTGAACATGAGCTAGCAGTGTGTCCTTGACTTCCTTGACACAAGGAAGGCCAACAGCATCCTGGTCTGCATTAGGAAGATCATCACCAACAGGCTGAAGGGAGGTGATCCTTCTCCTCTGCTCAGCTCTGGTGATGCAGATCTGCAGTGTTGGGTCCAGTTCTGGGCTCCCCAATACACAAAAGACATGGACATACTGGAGCAAGGCCCGCAAAGGGCCACAAAGATGATGAAGGGACTGGAGCATCTGTTGTGTGAGGAGAGACTGAGAGAGCTGGGACTGTTCAGCCTGGAGCAGAGAAGGCTCAAGGGGGGTCTTATCGATGTGTATAAATACCTGATCCCTTATCTGATAAGAGACAGAGCCAGACTCTTCTCAGTGGTGCCCAGTGACAGGACAAGAGGCAGTGAGCTCAAATACAGGGAATTCCTTCTGAAGACAATAAAATAATCTTTTCTGTTCACTATGAGGGTGACGAAGAGCTTGCACAGATTGCCCAGGGAGGTTGTGGAGTCTCCATCCTTGGGGATGCTCAAAATGCTCAAAAACAGGGTCCTGGGCAACTGGGTCTAGGTGGCCCTTCTTGAGCAGGTGTGTTGGACCAGATGACCCCCAGAGGTGCCTTCCAACCTCAGCACTTCTGGGATTCTGGCAGGTATTTACTACACTTTAATAATCTTATGCTGTTACACAAATAGTTGCACTTTCCTCTCTCCCCTCAAGATGAATCTGAGATCTGTGTTACATCTTTAGAGAGGTTTTTCAGAAGGAAAACTTCTGTATTGTAACTCCATTAATTATGAGTCATGGGAACACTTATTTTGAAAGTTTTGTATTTCACCCTGTTTAAAGTTCACTTTAGTTTAGAATTACTTTTTGGTTGCCATCAGAATTGTTTTGGTTTTTGCTCAAATTGAAAATATGTTTGTGTTATCAAAACAAATGTCATTGTGGGCAAAGAACCAAGCATTGCCGATGTTTTTCATAGCAGTAATATTTGATTTCACTTGTTGGGTGTCTGGTAAACCACTTCAGAAGAGAAAATGTCATTCTAACACATGCATGTAAACACACACACACACATATATTTGAGTGCCCACGTATTTTGCCGTAAATTCAGGCTTTATTAAACGTTTCGGCAGAACACACCCAGGTCAGGTGTGATCAGTACAGCTTGAGCTGTCTGTTGCTGGTACTTCTCTAACCACACCTGCAGAGCTGTTTTGAAACAAACTATCTCCCAGTGAATACATCTTACTGCCAAGTCCTTGAGTCACCCTGCAGCCTGGGGTCTCGTCTTCAGGATACAAGTATATGAGGTTTTTTGTGAATTGGAAAAGGGAAATATATTGTATGTCTCACTGTTATTTTATTTTTCCACATCAAAGCCTTTGAGGTAAGAGAAATATATTTATTTTTCCGAGGTAGTATTTCACTCAGGAGAGAACAATCATGTTCCGACTTCTCCCTCTTGACCAGTAGATGCTGAAATCATCTGAAAAGTAGAAGGTATTATAGACTATGTTTAAATAAGTCTGTAACGTAGTATGAGCTTTTGTTTCAGGAAATGCAGTGAGTTTGTAAGTATGGGGCTGGTGGACAGGATCTGCAGTGCATTTTAATATAGTATTTTTGTATCGAATGTATCGTACCATTTTATGTCGAGTTTACATGCCACATCCTCTTTTTCTTTACAGGGTATATACCCAGTTACTTAGACAAGGATGAGCTATGTGTAGTATGTGGGGACAAAGCCACCGGATATCATTATCGCTGCATCACTTGCGAAGGTTGCAAGGTAAATGGCACAGTGGGAAAGTGGGAATCAGAAATAGCTCTCCAGCTCCTCCATTATACAGGCTTCCTGAACTGTGCTGTCAAATAAAACAAAGACAGATTAGAAGCGAATAAGAACATCCAGTACTGATGATAAGCCGTATCTGGCTATGCTGCTGCTCTTCATATGCATGAGGAATATAGTTGGTTTTTTACAGTGTTTGCTTCTGGAAAGAAAATGAGAAATTTAGATTTCTGTTGTTACTGTTTAATTGGTAGCTTTTACATTTCCATTTTTTCATGTTTCTTTGGCCGTGTTCTCAGACAGTGTACAGCAGCATACTCCCAGCAGCTCCAGTGAAGCTGTTTATGCAATAGCTGAGATTCTGCCTATGGCCACGAAGAGTCTGTAGCGATTAACAGTGTTCCAGTGCCTCTTGTTGTCACTGTGAAGAAGCAAAAATCAAAATCGCTTCTACGTGTTCATACAACAGTGACATCCGTCATTTTGGGGAGCATTGACACCCAGTTAAAACAGTTTCAGAAAGATTTTGACTTCTTTAGCATATTGAAATGTGCTTTCAGCCTTAAATTGCATTTCCAAAGCTACATGCAAAATTAAAAAAGAGATTGCTTTGGGCAAGTAAATAAATAAAAAAAAAAAAAAAAGAGTAACACAGTCAGGCACATTTTACATTATTTCACTGCCATAAATTTGCCTGAATAGCTTGAGATCCTGTAAGAAAGCTATTCTTTCCTGCAGAAAATAAGAAGTGATTATGTTTTTCTAAACAAATTGGACCACGTATGTCATGGATTAGTGTCATGGGACTAAGCCACAAAAGTCGTATTCTGTTCATCTGCAAAGTCTGGGATATTTGGATCTGAGATTCTGGGTTTGGATTGGCTTTAGAGTTCCACATCACAGTGACTCTTGTGCTGAAGTAGTTCCTTCAGTGGTACAGCATTGCCCTAAGTTACATTTATGAAATGCGTAAAGACCTAAACATCCTATGCGTAGCAGGTTTGTGGTAATATTCATAATGGGTTTATGAACATGCATACATAATATGTATAAAAACATATTTATATCTGAAAAAAACTGGAACTGAACAAGTGATTCTTGCACATTTGCGTCCCATATACCAGATGATAACAGTACATAAAATGCACGAGTAAGACTTAATTCAGATACAATGAGAAATAAGCGACACTGTGGCATTATGAAATATCTTTTGCTCCCAGCTGAACAGCTATAGGTCTCACCAGTTTGCTACTAAGGTTTTTCTTACTCCAACCAAAGTATTTCTTTTTATGCCTACCAGCTATTTTAAAGATACAGCATACAAAATCTACTTTTATCTTCAGATACAGTTCTTCTGTCAGATGTACAGTATAAAATAATGCTTAGGTGCACAAGGAACTGAGCTAACAATTTGCAAAAAGTAATTAATTTCAATATAGTTGGCTTACAAACAGGCCGGTTTGGTTTGGTTTGGTTTGTTGCTCTTGCAAATGTATTCATTGTACAAGATGCATTTTTTTGTGTGGATAATTTCAGCCCATGCCTTGGAGCATCTGCATACACATTTCAAGTTGTATGATTTATCAGCAAAGTTATATGTAATCAATTCTCAATGAATTTGACATTTACTTGTTGCTTCCACTCAAATTCACTTCAGTTTTGCAACAACATTAATCAGGACTGACAGCCAAAAATTTGCTTTGGCAAGCGCTTTCATGAACAAAGCATCCTCACACATGATTTCTGAAGAGTAGACTGTAAGGAATTTAAACACAAATAAACCAACAGTGAGTTCTGACATCACTGAAATGTTTCTCCGAGCTGTACCCATTGCATCTGTCACTATGTAGGTGCACATAAAGGAATTTAGGAAAAGAGTAGGTGCCTTACAATAAAATGTGCTTTCTTTTATTGGTGAAAATAACACATCTGTGGCAAAGTGGTCGGACAGATATGGAGGGCGGCTCCCTTATGGCATTGTATGTAGAGATGATCAAAGAGCTTTTTTGCAAAAAGTTTCTGAGAAATGCGAAGAAATGGGAAGCTGAAATATGCTGGTCCCAGCACAGCTGGTGAAGAGCCTTGCCATTTTAAAGCGAGAGCTACTTTAAGTCCCATGCAATGATTAGAAAACAGAAGTTCAGGACCACTTTCTGGGATTCATTAGAGATGTTTCCATCTGTTGCTGTAACTAGAGATTACGCCATGTCCCTGGATGTCCAAAGCCATCTTTGATCTTCAGGGAGGACAGGGGCAGGTTGTGTCTCTAGGAATTCATCAGAAGGCTGAGAGTGGATCCACGTCCAGTTGTTGGGTAGATGGGAGTTTGAGACCTGATCCAAACTCTGCGTGAGAATGTCTTGCCTGTGTCTTACTGGATTTTGACTCAACCCAGCAGGTCCCAGTCTTGCAAGGGCTCACACACATGCTTTATGCAACTCAGTTTAATTGAGATTTCAGGTCTTTTCATTATTAAGGAAGGAAGAGTTCTACTCTTGGTTCGAGCTGGATCTTGTAAGACAGAACTGTAATAAGGACAAGGCTCTTTATTGTCTTTGCAGGAGTTAGGAGCTCAAGCTGAAATACAGACTTATCTGCATGTCTTAATTCAACATTCTGTGTTAAAAGAAATTACACACTGCTATAAGATTTTACTGGGTGTTATTTAACGTGATTAAAAACAGACCTTTCGTCTAGTGATGTGAAGAGACTATTCATTAGATAAAATCCCAGCTGAAGAGACTATTCATTAGGTAAAAATCCCACCTAGCTTGAGTTTTGCCATTGTTTTCACTGAAACCGAAGCCATTAATGGTGGCCTCAACCAGGGTCTCAGTGTGGTCTCTGTGTCAAGGTGGTCTCAAGCTGCATTGATGAATGTAGACAGTCTCAGTGGTGAAACCTGAAATTAAAGCGAAGTCTAAATTTCTTTCTTTACAGCTTTTCTTGTCCACATTACTGTGGTCTTGGGAAGTTTATCCAGCTCTTGCGGAAGTCAGTGACGAAAGTCATGTTGAAATTAGTACCAGGATTAGGTCCATAAGGTTCAGAGATAAGTTGTATCTGATTTCTTTACCTAAGGCCGGGGTCTGTAGTGTGTTATAAATCAGTCAATTCAGTGGAGCTACATTAGTTTGCATGAGCTTAGGATCTGACCTCATATCCATGTTGCAATTGGCAATATAGATATGTATTAGATAGATAGATAGATAGATAGATAGACAGACAGACAGATAGAATAGATTTAGAGAGAGAGATCTCTTTTTTGGTGATGTTTGTTTTTAATACAGAGGTCTGTGGTAAATATGAATTTCTCTTCTTAGAAATATGGATCATTTTAAAATTATGGATCCATTATTTAGAACCAAACTCAAAGATTGGGTAAATTGTGTTTGCAAAATTCTTAGTTTTACCTGGATTTGGGTGGTTGGTTATTTGGCTTTGATGGAAAGTAGGGATTAGAACTCTTTGTGCTTAATCCTTTAGTAGCACATACACACCACCATTCTTACTGTTTGCAGAAGCTACCCTTTAATTAAGTATGCCTCTTAATATCCCTCAAAATGATTATGTAATTTAGAAGGGGCTCAAAATAAACTCTCTAGTTCAACTGCAAAAAAAATAACACGCAGAAACATAAGACTTAAAGAAGACATATTGACAGTATTTGTCCCTCAAGACAGCATTTCTTATGCCTTTACTTACGTAAGACGTCTATGCGTTTTTAACTTTTAGGCAGCAAATGTTTCATGAAACTCAGAAAAAAAATGCCATCTGCTTTGAAAGTGGAAGTATGTTATCTTGCATACTGAAGTACATTCCTACCAAACCAAAGTGGCTCCCAATTTGAAAAAAATGCGCAGTGCTGATGCTTTCCAATGTATTTGTTTACTGCACTTTAGGGTTTTTTTAGAAGAACCATTCAAAAAAACCTCCATCCAACCTATTCCTGTAAATATGAAGGAAAATGTGTGATAGACAAAGTAACAAGAAATCAGTGCCAGGAATGTCGCTTCAAAAAATGTATCTTTGTTGGCATGGCAACAGATTGTAAGTATATTTTTCTGATTTTCTTTCTTTTCTCTTTTTTTTTGATGTGTGTGCTTGCTGAAAGTGTGTTGATTGGTGAAGACTGTTAAAGCAGAGAAGTGCCAGCACTTTTTTGTTGTTAATGATTTGTACCAGAGAATTATGCTCATTGCATCAAACCACTCCCATAGAGGTGTAAGTTTTTGTTGACCCTTCACCAGACTGCACTGTCTCCTGGCCTTACCAAGCTGAAGAGCAGTAGGAATGTTCACTCTTTGGAGAAGAGGAGGTAGAAATACATCTGGATGGACACTTTGCTTGAGAAAAAAACATCTTGTTTAGAAAATTCTGGAGGATGTGAAATTGAATGTCATTGTATGAGTCATCCTGCAGTTGTTTGTTTTATTTTTAGCCCTGAAGAAGTTATCTGCTGCAAAGAATTCGACTCTCATTCTAAAGAACTAGAACATACGGCTGTAAGATTAACCCTTAGGGGTCTTCTTTTCCTGTCGTTGCACAGGGATTTACACCGATGACTTCACTTAGTGCAAAAGGGAGGAAGTCACGTAAATCCCCCTGTGCATTAGTGTTAATGGTTGTTGCCGGCGCAATCCTCTGCAGAAGTGGCAGGAAATCAGGCCCAGTAAACAACAGGAAAATATTCTAACTTAGTATTTTTCATTGGCAATGTAATGTATAACAGCATCTTCTGTCTAGAGGGCAATAGAAGACATGACACAATATCATTTTAGCCAGGTAGACCTTTGGGAGTGGGGCTGGAGAACGCCGGGTCACCAGTTCGCACCCAGCCCCATCGGACGCAGCGAGCAGTGGTGAGCATCAGCCAGGTAGCTGCTGCACAGAGCGAGAAGGTTCTCCGAGGGTGGTCCTGACCCGCAGGTGTCAGTGCCATGAAGCCGGTATGGCCTTCATGGGCTGCACCGACGCAGGCGCCCAGGAGCTGTCACTGCGCACGGCAGACAGGCCAGCTAAGCCCAGCTCGAGAAGGGTTTCTCCCGTCTTTGAGTTGATGTGCGTGAACAAGAGCGCGTAAGCAGGGCTTTTGTTGCTCCTGTCTGCCTGCCACCACCTGTGGATCAGAAAGGTCCTCCTGCCATAAAGCAGGCGAATCTGTTTTCAATGGCCTGTTCACACTGGTATGGAAAATGGGATAAAGACTGCAGTGCTGGCCGGAGATGTGCAGCCCTGGGGCCTGTGTGTCTGGCATTGCTGGGAGCAGCAGGGCTCTAGGGGAAAGCCGCAGAACGGCACCGTTTGTAGGGCTTATGGCAAGAGCCCCAGGCAAATTGTTTCTGACTGTGTCGTGCAACAGGTAGTTGAGCCACCTGTGAGTAAGACCACTCATCTATGTACTCTTACTTTCTTACATCCAAATTACCTTCTGCTGGCTTACAAGAACACATTTACACAATTCAGAGCAGTGAATGTGCTGATGCTACTTTAAAGGAAATAAAAGTGCATCTTTCCCAACGTGGATTACTCCAGATCTGTTATAGGAGCACTCTGAGTCCTCACAAAGCTTTTACGTATTAGTTTGGTTGGTGGAATAAGCCACTGAAGGCCATGGTAGTTATATGTCACGTTACCAGAAGGGTAAGTGGTTCTTTGCAATCCAGGCTTCTGAGAAAATGAAGTTTGGAGGGAGGAATGAGAGGACTATGTCAACTGTGGGTCTTAGCAAAGTACTTATTTACTGATCAGTTAAGGTCCTTGTAATCAATTAGTGCCTCAGGCATACGAAAGAGCAAAGTTCAGTCAACCTTAAAGAGCTTCCTGCCATTTTTGTGTGCTTTTCCCCCTGCTAGTGGTGTTGGATGACAGCAAGCGCTTGGCAAAGAGGAAGCTGATAGAAGAAAACCGAGAGAAGAGACGTCGGGAGGAGCTGCAGAAAACAATTGGGCACAAACCAGAGCCAACGGATGAGGAATGGGAGCTCATCAAAATTGTTACTGAAGCACACGTGGCCACCAATGCACAAGGGAGCCACTGGAAGCAGAAAAGGAAATTTCTGGTAAGGACTGTAGACTTTTACGCTGCCCTTGGAGTCAAGTTCCTTCCTTTCTTCTGAAGACCCTTCCCAATACTGCGAGCCCAAAGCGGGCCTATCTGCCAGGGTATTGACATACATGAAACATGGACGATTTTTATAATTACTGCTTGCTTATTCTTGCCTGAAGCTCAGTGTTTGATCAGACCATGTATTTCAAAAGATAAACAGCATGTTACTGAGTTAAGGCTTACCCAGCTGGATACTTTTAATGTGCTATGATTAGAAAAAGCAGAAAAATTATTTCATGCCTAATTAAGAGCAGTAGCAGTCTATAATGCATACTATGTCTTTTTTTATATGTTACGTCTAAGGACAGTTTTCTTTGTTAGGGACTAGCATACAACATATTGTAAGTGTTAAAACAATGTAAAGTTTTAGGTGAAAGCTGATATTTTTTATCAATAACTAGTGGTTTTTGCTTCCTTGTTCCAAAGTGAACATATTGATTAAAATAAATTTGGCAAAGAAAAATGAATTTCAATGAAAGTAGGATAATACATACACTACAGCACTGGGGTAGAAGACTACAAGACGGCTTAAGTTTTCAGCCTGTAACCAAAGATCAGAAAATAAATGATGATGTGTGATGCTCAGCCTTAGAAAAGGATTTATTTGATTTTTCTAAATCCATTTTTGAAGGAAATAAGTGCAGAATATGAAATGCTTATACAGCACAAAAGACGGATTATAGACTGTATGTCAGGAATACACAGGGGTCTTTAACAGTCTGTGTAGACCAAATCAGATAGACAATATTCTTTTTTTGCAAGCCTAGGCTCCTGCTGCCTAATTCACCATGGGAATCTCAACCCACTGTTAAATCGCTAAGCAAAATTATATATTCAAACCAGCTGATCCCTTGTATAATGGTTTGTTAATTCCAGTGGCACTGTCTGAATTTCTATATGAATGGCTGCATGTTCATAGTAGCGTGCAGTCGGGAAACCACAGCCAGTGACCACTGGCAAGAAGTACAAGAGCACTTTCCAGTGATGCTGCACGGCAAGGTTTGCAGTGCTGATTTTAGCAGACCAAGAAGGAGCTGCAGTAGGGCATTCGGTTACTTAGGCAGGAAGGCTGTTCTGTGGGTGTCGCCTGGTGTACGATAAAGCATGGGGAGCTTGAAGTTGGGGCTGGGAATGAGGACATGGACAGACAGCTGGGAATGGGGACACAGGAAGAAAGCTGGTAGGGACTAGGCCACGTAAAGTGTGGTCATTGAAGGACTTTGGGCTCTCAAGACAGCCACTGTGGAGGGGGACCCTCCAGCAAAGGGTGCCCAGAGGGAGGGTATGCGATGGTGTCATGACAGGGCTGTTGGGAGAGGAGAAGGAAGGGCAGAGGCAGGGGTGGCAGCTGTAACGGGCGGTTCAGAAACCAGATGTGACTTCCACAGCTGGTTCCTAGGCCAGACCAATCTCCTCTCAGTGCAGCCCTTGCTGCGAGGCTTCCTGGTTCTTTGCAGTGCTCGCATGCTGAAGCCCAGTGGTTTCAAGGCAAGTGTAGGGAGCTCACTGACACCTTGCGGTGGGCACAGAAGGAAGAGTCAAGGATGACCTGCCAACCCCAGATGGAGAGCTTTGAAAGCCTGCTGCCAGAAGCTGTTGAAGAGCAAGAGGAGCTGACTGCACGCCCCAGGAGCTGTGGGTCGGTCCTTAGGCAGCTGAGGCCAGTTCTTCAACAGCAGGAGCTCCTTTGAGGTCTGGACCTCTTTTCCTGTTGAGGTGAGTTAGGTGGCAAGGGTTCTGCAGCTACATGCGCTGCTGGAGTGTGTTAGCTTTAGCTAGTGACCCTGACTTCTTTTGCCTTCCCTAAGAAAATGCTGTGTTCTTTCTTTTTCTCCCTAACTATGTTAAGCATGGTTTTAAGCATTTGGTCTTCTTGCTTGGAAGTGATGAATGCTGTTTATCAGGAGCACACAGACAATGTGGTTTAGTTTCCCAAGATTCAGGGAGGGAGGGAGCCTAGAACTGGGATTACTTGAGTTTTTTAGCATGAACCGTCAGATAGTTGAGCTCAGTCCTCTTCATTGTTCCGTTACAAATGGTGCTTGCTTAATGAATGCATTGCTGAGGTTTCTCTTGATAAGAAGTTAGATTTGGATTCAGATTGGTGACAGAGCTGTGGAAGGATCTTTTATGATGTGTTGCTTTAAAAAACTGCCGAGGACAAGTTTTTATTATAGGCAGCACTTTGAGCACCTCCCCTGTTTAAGTGCGCTTATATAAATGCCATGAGGTTCATCAGTCTTAAAGGCTGCCTTCTCTGGGTTTTACCTGGTTTTTGACTCTCTAATGTGAACAAAATGGAACCTCTGCATGGTTGTTGTCAGGTCTTTTACAACCGCAAAGCCACACTTAGTGAACGGAACAGCTTTGATGTGCCTGTTTTTGAAATACATGGTAACATTGATGAGCTCTCATAAAACCAGGTGAACAAGCTGAAGCGCAGTGGGAATAAAAAAAGCACTCATCACTGATTCTGCTTGAAACTATTTCATTGTATATCCCTATTGAAATCTTCCAAATACAATTTTTTTTCTCTTATGGAGAAGCTGAATTTCTGCAGAAGGTGATTTTCAACCAGAATTTCACCCAGACGAATTCAAATTCTGGTCACTCTATCCAGACTAGCTTTGTGTTAGCCCGTTCTTAGTCATCAGTTGGTTTAGCCTAGTTTTGGGAAGAGGCCTTGGCAGCTGCCTGGACCTCTGTGATACCAGGCAGTCTGTTCTGGGGAGGATTTCAGAACTTCAGGTAGGTGAAAGAGCCCAATTCTGCAAAACTCTCAGTGTCGTCTTGGGGGTAACAAGTCACCTCGTCTCCGTTTGCTTTTAAAGGAACTTGAGAGTTCTCAGCACCTGTAAGAAACAAGAACACGCCTATATTTTTAAGCAAAAATGCATAAGCTACACCCACAAAACATTCAGATACAGGCACAAGGAAGAAACTACATATGCACAGAGTGCAGCTGCCCACACAGGTTGGGTAGCAGCATGCCAGTCACCCATGTCTCTGTGCAGTCACCGTTTTCACAAATGCCATATAAACAAATTTGCATTTTGTGGCATAGTGGGCATTACTTATAAAGCAAATAGCGTTATTTTTTATTTTAACATATCTTCCCTTTCCGAGCAGGAAATTTCAGGAGTATAAAATACTTGCACTAAGAGAAATTGTTCCTCTGTTTATATCCTTAGCCAGAAGATATTGGGCAGGCACCAATAGTTAATGCCCCAGAAGGTGGGAAAGTGGATTTAGAAGCCTTCAGCCAGTTTACAAAAATTATCACACCAGCGATTACAAGAGTGGTGGATTTTGCCAAAAAGTTGCCTATGTTTTGTGAGGTAAGAAAACTTCCTTGCACTCCTCATTTATATGCCTGTTGTTAAAAAACTGTTCAAAATACTGCTGGCATGGAACTAAAAAATTCACTATGTTTAAAATCAGAAAAATTAAGAGACCCCAAGTAGATGGGACTAGATTAATCTGGATTTTTATGAGGGTTTTTTTTGCTGTGATTACTGAAATCCTGATTTTGTTGATCTAGAAGTCATCGTGGTTCATTAGAGGTGGCCTTGACAAAGCAAACGAGCAAACGAGCAAAAAGACACTGTCTAGAAGTGTCTTTAATAAGTTTAATCAGACCTTCCAGCACACCATTCCCTCTGTGCTTTCTGGCTCCTTGACAGGTACAGTGTTGTGGAGTTGGGTCTGTGCAGTAGCAAATTCTTCACGTTCAGGAAATCATCCCTATCCAGGAATGGCACTCGCTTCATTGTGTTCCCTAGGCATGCTCTTCCAGAATGGGGAGGTTGTGCATAAAAGAGTCTGTAAGAGTAATGGATTGTCATTCTAGGTAGATACTCACATGTAAAATATACAGTAAATAGACCCAAATAGACTTGGTTGCACATAAGGAATACAGAGGCCCTAGGCTGATCTCATTTACACCAAGGTATCATTTTTATTGAAGGACTAGACGCAGTGGCTGATGATATTTTTTTCCTAACTTAAAAAATGTTACCAGAACTGCAACCTGAAATAATATTTCAGTCTTAATAACCTTAATAATTTTAAGTCTTGTGAGTCCCTTAGAATCCACAACCATGGGATTTTTAGTATGGAAATATCCCCAATCTGGCCATGGAAGGATGCCTGCCTGCTCACCCGTGCTGCAGAGCAACACTTGACTCTTCTGGTGAAATGCCAACTGAATGACATTCACAATGGGAGTGACCATGGTCAGTGAGCTCATCGGGCGTCCCAACTTGGGAACAGTGTTTCCTTGTAATAACTACACATCAGTCAGGAAGGAAGTTTAAGGCAGCCATAGCATTTTACTCTGTGGCTGGCAGCTTTCCTTTAAGGTCAGTCAAGGACAGCTATTTATGTCCTCTGGCACCTACAGAACAAGAAGAGGTAAATATCAACGGTTGGCATAGTGTAAATAGCTCTCCCTGGCTAACCTCAGCACTGGCTCCATCAGCCAAGGCAACATGAAATAGTGGCCAAGCATGAAGACTTTAAAATAGAAGCGATGTGTCCATAGATCAAGAGGCCCTCGCAGCTTTCAGTGTCTGAGGGAATCTGTCTCCTCTGATTTGGCGTTTGTTGGTGGGAAGTTGCAGTGACAAACCAAGGTAGTCTTTTTAATTTAGAAAGCTTTGCCAGTCACACACAGACCACAGTGCTCGTCTGACATCTCCTACCCCTCCTGGCTACCGTGGGCCCACTTGTGTCAGGGCCGGGCAGGAAGCATGGATGAAGAAGTCAAGGCGTCGCTGGGCGTGAGCTCTGCAGGTCATGCAGCTCAGCTAGGACGGGCTCCGTCTGCAGCTGAGCCTCTGTGCAAAGCTGACACCCAGATACGGCAAGGCCTGATGGCAGAGTGAGGGACAACTCCTCGTGAACGCAAGGGAATAGGACAGCTGTCCTCCCAGCTGTCACAGAGCTCCTGCGGTAGCATGAAGAAAATGACAAATGTTTCCTTTTTTTTGAAGGGGCACCGTCCTGTTAACTTTATTTCATTTATGTTTTGTAACACACATCTTTTTCTTAGAAGCAACACTGTGTGGGCTGTGGATTCATTTATGAGAAGAAGCCCTCCTTTCTCCCATAGGACCTGCAGAGCATTTAAACGTTATCCCAGTTCTTCATTTCCACAGAGGCTCAGGCTGTAGTTTAGTAAATCTCCGTGAAGGAGGTCAGGGCCTCTTACATATCTGCAGCCCCTTTTTGTGCTTTCTCTCTTCTTTGGACACATTCACAAGCCAGCAAAGCAGTGTGAGTGCCCATCTTAGTGCATCCGTTGGCCTGTGCCTCAGAGCAAGAATCTAATCCCAGAGTACTTGAAGTATAAGAAATACTCATTTACTCCTCAGCATTTCTGCTGTTGTTTCCTTCTTGCATTTCCTTCTGCTTAGAAAATGAAGATTGAGGAGCTCTTAAGTCTGATGTGAGTTTAGGTGTCACAGGCATCAGTGTTGGGCAAGGCTCTGTAAATACCCTGCTAGGTAGCTCAGCTCAGCTCAGTTCCGTGGTGCTGCATTACACGTGGTGGCTGCCAGGATGTCCCGCCGAGGTGAGCACCTCAGGTTCCTGCCTTTTGCTTTCTCTCCCTGCAGAGGCAGAAGGAAGGGACAACTGGCAGATAATCAGTCACATCTGTTGACCACACTCCTGGAAGGTGCTCTGGTAGCAGCACTCAAGTGATGAGCATAGGCAGCACTGAAACCTGCGTAGTTTGGAGCAGAACTGACGTTCAAGCCCCACGTCTTTGGTAACTGCTGCTGCTGGCAGATAAAACGTGAGGCTTGGCATCTGTGAAACTGTGTCCTTCAGAGTAAGGAAGGCCTGTGAAGGATGGGCACAGTCAGATCACCGCTAGCATAAAGAAGTTTTGGGGAGGTTCAAGTAGGAAGAGAAATTCTCATTGGTTTAATGGCTCACCAGTAAAACAGCTGAAGCATCATGAAATATCTTTTCCACCATTCTTCCTTCTCTTCATTTCTCTTTTCTACTCCCTTCTCCCTTTCTTTCATGTCCCTTTTTTCTCTGCAGTTACCTATTCTGATATCTCATCTGATTCTCCTCTGCTTTCACACATCTTTTCTTTCTTTCTTTCTTTTAAATTTTGTTTTTATTTCTTACTCTGTTTCTTTCCC